CTGCCCCAGCCCTACTATATTTTTATATGTATATATACTTTTTATATATATATACACCTATATATTTTCCTATATACTATATATATATATACTATACTTTCCCTCCTTATCCCTGTGCCTTCTTGGTCTTCAGCTCCATCTGCACAGGTTCCCTCCTCCTGCTGTTTTTAAAAAAGTAACCTTTTGAAGACATGACCAGAAAAACTATTATACATATAGAAAGACAGCAGTAACCATATTAATACCTTCTCCTAGTTAAGCTTCATCCCACCACATCCCTGTTTGTCAGCCAGTCTGAAAGCATCACACATTCGGGAGCAGGAATGGCATTTCACCCATCTGTAGCCAGGTAACAAGAATCAGGGCTGGAGGTGACAACTTCTCCCAGCACATGTAAGAAGTGAAGGCAAATTAGCTGAAGCTGTGGCATGGGCATGGTGAGCATGGGTGAGGGGGACAGCTCTTATCTCTACAGCAAGCCACATCTGGTGGTATTTTGCAGAACTGGCAGCCCACATAGCAGTGGGAAATGCCCTCGCCTCCTTCACATCCCTGCTCCCGGGCCTGCTGGGTTCCCATGGAACTGCTCCTTTCCCAGCCTTCAGCAATGAAGGCAATTGGAAAGACCTGGGCGGCTTTCCAGCACTAGCCAGTGTTACTTGGCAGCCAGAGAGTGCTAGGCAGGGCTATAGTAAAATAGCACAAGCCCCATGTTTGGTCTGTTCTCCCCTTCGCTTTCGCTTCCCAGGCTGCTTTCCGTAGCCTGGGACAGCAGTGGCAGAGTTGGAACTGTGGTGCTGCCAAGGGACACATGAGGAAAGCTCTCGCTGTCCTGTGGAGAAGAGCAACACTGATGTGAGAAACAACACTTAAAAAAAAGAAATACCAGATCATTACAGCCTAAAAAGGAGCCATGAGCAACATCTTGGGTGGGTGGAGAACACATCTCACACACTACCAGGTCTGGAGAGTTAGCATGGGGATGGAGGCAGCCTGTTATCAGGCAGCAGGTTTAAAGTAAACAAAAGGAAATAGTTTTGCACAGAAGACACATTGAAATTACCTTGTCAAAGCTGAAAGTTAAATGAATGCAAAAGAGGATAGGATGGATTCATAGGGAACATGGGCACCCATGGCTATCAGATCCTTAAGCAATCATTTGATCACAAATTCCTTAATGGCTAGAAGAGAAGGCTTATGACATTTCCCCAACTATCCCTCTAGATCCTCACCCCCCCCTGCAGCTGGGGATGAATGCCAAAGCACTGCCTGTTTGATCTGACCTAGCACGGCTCTTACACACTCTAGGAAAATGACATCCTAATCCAGTGATAAATTTGGACATGTTTAAAAACAATGATGAAAGCAGAAACAAACAATATAAGATGTTAGAACTTAGAAACAGTGCAGGAAGTAAATAAAGACTTAGTTTGGAAAGTATGGCTAATACATCTGGGATGGATCATACACCCCCCACCCCCCACCCAGATGTTCAAAAATGGAGAAACCTTGAGGCAGTAGGAGAGGAAGCAGGAATGCTCTGTGCCACAGTGGTGAGAGTGAGAGGAATGTGAATGTGAGCCCTGTCCCCTCTATCGCTTCATGGCTGGTGGTCACAGTCAGCAAGGAGCCAATCCCTCCAGAGCCAGCCATGGAAAGACTCCATCTGATGGGTTCATTTTAGTTCTGGCCATATTGTTAACAGAGGAAGAATGGAAAATCTGAGGAAAGTTCAAGCTAATAGCCATAAGAATGAGCAAACTCTGGAGAGTTCATGCTGAAAGAAAAATAAAGACCATGGCAAGCATGTTTGCCTTGGCAGAGCTACAGCTGTGGCTGCACACAGAGACACGCAGCCCTGTGAACAAGGGGCACAGGCCCACCGTCCTTCACCTGTTTGGGGGGGTGAGAGGGTGGGCTGCAGTGCCAACATGATGCCAGTGGTGCCACCTGGGGGAGGAAAAGGGAAAATGAGGACAGGGGACTGCATCCATCTAGTTAGCAGCAGGGGAGAACAAGCTGCTTTGAGGAGGTCTGGGTGAAGCTAAAGCAAGGAAAGATGGGGTTTGGCTTCTAGCAGCCTTCCTGGGAGTGAGGCCACCCGTGTGAGGTGCCCAGAGCCTGGGAAAGACTACAGTGCCTTTCCCTACCAGGAGGGGATGCTACCATCCACTGTGAACTTCAGATCTGACCCAGAAGAACATCAAGGAACTGACAAGAGAGGAAATCACATCTCAGGACTTTTCCATGTTTAGTGCCAGAAGCTCCATTCCACTACTGGCAGACTCCCATCTTCCGGAAAAGAGCACAAAAACTTTTCTGGCATAAGTTCAGACGTCTTTATTATCATAAGCATACAGAGACCTTTGTGTGCATCAAAACAAAGATCCATTTCTTCAGGGCTGGGCCACAGAAAGAAAACACGTGGCCCGAGAGGCAGGAACTGTTGTCCTCAGCATGTCCCCCCAGCCCCTCCTAAACAGTCTATAGAGCCTGTGACGAAGCTGGCAGCCCTGCAGAGCCTGCACATCCTTCCTGGCACAGAGCATGGGAAGAATTGGGGTGGAGAAGGAAGGGGTACACATCCGGCCCAGAGTTGCTCTTGGAGAAGCTGAAGAGCTGTGGCCAGCCCAGACACTTCAAATCGGGCTCCCACGGCAGAGGTGATGGCCCCACTTCTGAGAGCTTCCTTTCAAGTGGAGGCTCCCCTGTGCTTTGCTGTAGGGCCAGAGAAGTCAGCTGTAGCCTGTGCACAGAGGAGAGGTAGCTTTATCAGGGAGGAGAGTGAAAGGTACTTAGAGCCTGTGGTGAGGACCAGTTGTTTTCTGCAAGAGGTGAGTGTTCTGCAGGCACCCAGGCTCTCTCCTCTGAGAAGTTCCGGTGGCTTTGCCCCACACCTGACACTTGGGTGAACATGGGAGAGCTCATAGAAGTCATCAGTCCCAGCAAGACCAGACTGCTCCTGCACTATCGAAAGCTATGAAATCCCCCTGCAAGGAACCTTCCCAAAAATGGACCTATCAACATTTTAACCCCAAACAGAGACATCTCACCTTGCTGCAGCACATCTCAGGGCTTCTTAGGAGCCCAGGAGAGCTCTCTCTTCTAGGAGAGACCAAGGTGTGGAATCTTGGCAGCTCAGCAGTGCTGAACAGTGAATAAATATTTGCTAGACAAGAACATGTGGTGTTAAAAGATGCTTTACCCCAGAAAAGCAAAACAGTACAGCAGCCAGTGGCCAGATATTAAAGCCAGAAGCTGTCAAATTAGAAATAAGGCACAAATAATTATCAGTGAGGCAGATCAACTGCATTAACAAGAGAAGTGATACATTATTACTGGCATATTTGGACATTCCCTCCACTATCATTAATGGTCTTCCTGCACACACTGGGTGTCTCTGGAACATTTGAGCTGAATACAGCTGGGTCAGATACAACACAGAAGCAAAGAAATGAATATTCATTAAACTTGAACTCTTTGACCAAGGATTTTGAGTAGCCTCCATGAATAAAGTCCTGCAATAACGGGAGAAATAGGGAGAAAAAAAAAGTCATAGGCTGTTCTGTGAAGATTCACATACAGGCAGTGATATGCAAGGGTCCCATCTTGACAGGATGCCTTCAGTCAACCAGTTCCTGGAGCCTCAGTCTGCTCAAGTGATTTTTCAAATGGCATGTCTGTTGTCACCTTCAAAATTCTAATTTTGGAGAGATTGATTTATAAACGGGGTCTAAAAGTCACAAGGTTTAAAAAAATGTAACATATTTTGTATTTATCTTAGCTTGGGGCCCTTAGGTTACACTCAAGTCACATTTAAAGCTTTAAAAAAACCCCAAAACTGAAACCAAAAAGCAAGATAATTATGATGGGAGGGAGTAAGTGAAGACACCAGCTGCTCACCTGGCTCTAGAATCAGGAGCTAACAATATTAATACTATGAGACTTGCAATAAAGATACAAAACTTTGTGAAAGCTCTTCTCACAGGTTCTGTATTTGTCCTTTTCCTTTGGCATAAACCCTTAGCAGGGACCAGAAAAGCAGACTGGCACAAGCTTTCTTTCCACACCAGCTTCCACATGGAGTTTCTGCATCAATTTCTGAAATGTCCTAATGGATCTGCCAGTTCCCATCATGGACACAACTCAGCAGCTGCCAGATCCCCAAAGAGATCGCAGGAGAGGAATTGCCATTTTGCAGGTTTCCATGCTGTTCATGGGGAGAAAGGATGCACCAGCAGGTGTGGGGAACTTCTCCAGGGCATCTGCTTTGCTATGAAGACTCTGTATGCAAGGGAGGTGGCACAAGATGAGGTGTGTTGCAAATGAGGCTGTCTGGGCAGCAGAAGCAGCTCTAATCACACATTTCTCCTGCATGCCTTCCAGCCACGATCAAAAACTACCGTTAGTCTCTCATCTACCTATATTTGCTGAAAAAAACCTGAAGGAAGACTGCATCTCTAACTGAATTCAACATCTCAGTCTATTTGCAGACAAAACAAAAACTGATGAATGGACTAACAGTGTGGTGAAGTGTCATTTGTGGATCAAACTGGATAATCTGCTCGGGGAATATTCTTTGAACAGTGTGTGTTTCAGTGGAGCTACGTGGAAAGGCAAAATAGCTCATATTGGAGACAGTGATGCACAATGTGGGACAGCAGCTGTTCTGGAATGCAATTACTGAGAAAAAAAAAAAGTTGCAATAGTCCAACTGGACAAAACAGCCTCAAAACTTTCTGTTGAGTGAGCAGACCTGGCCCTGAGATATATAAATGGGGAACACAGAGTACAGATCAAAACCAGAGGATATTACTTTATACACACTATTAATGACTCTACTATCACTCACTAATAAAAACTTTGGTGTTCCAATTTCAGAAAGATGTAAAACTTTTAAAAGAAGTGGAGTCAAGAGCTACAAGTGAGGTCAGCACAGAGCACTTCACAGATTGAAGATCAACCTATTTAATATGATATAATGACAATTTGCAAGCACCAACAAGGAAAAAGGGATTTTTAATAGCAGAGTTACTCAGTCCTTTGGAAATGGGCAGAACAAGGTCCAACAGAAGCTGAAGTCAGCTACTTCAGAGCAAAAATAAGACACAAATTTTTGGAAGAACAACGATCTGCCCAAAGATCATAGGGTAGATTTTTCCCTTACCTTTAGGTTCTTCAATATGGTAGGGCTTCTACTTCCAGGCATAAAGCAGAAATAACTGCAGGATATTTTCATGCCTGAGCTGTGCAGAAGAACAGGTTGGGAGAGCATGAAAACTCTGAGTTCTGTGTCTGTGCTTGCCTAAAGGAGAAGGTGTTATTGGGTGTGCACATCCTGACCCCCTCCTCACTGCCTGCACCTTTGCTTGGGGAAACACGTGAAGGTACATGTTTACCATGCCTTTTTCTCTATAATATCTGCTTTCTTTTGACCTCTGGCACTTACAGGCCATTAGGAGAAGAGATATCCAAGATTTTGTGGGAGGTAGACAGGCACCAGTGGTTTCTGAGCATTTTTACAAAAATGGATTTCTGACTTACCTCTGTTTTTTTTTTCAGACCAAGGAATGGAAAAATGGAAGAAAGTGATTCATAAACCCAATCAATGGCATCATCCTAGTTGTGTGCTAGAAGATGGGCCTCAGTATGTGCACTCACAAGCCCTGGGTCGTATGGCCATAGGATAAGCCTATTCCATCAGGGAAGAAAAGGCAAATTTTCACTAATTTTGCTGATGGAAAGCAAAGTTAACCAATGCTGGTTAATTGCTGCCAGCTGTCTATAGGAACATTACTTAATAAACATTTTCCCTAGATTGGAGGCTGCTGTATTATCAGCACAGTGACCCTGGATTGCTTTAGTGGATCTATACCTACAGGCATGCTGATAACACCAGAGTTCCTGTAGGCATAAGCACTCACTACTGGGCAAGGATCCTTGGCCAGTACAAGCTGTTTCTGCAAAAAACAGCAATGCCTGGCTGGGAACTCATGTCTTGATGTACCCTAGGGGCATGGGAATGGCTCAGTGCGACAGTGAGCCAGCTTTGGTCCAGCAACAACATCAGGAAAATGTGGGAAAAAGGCCTCTTACCACCTGCAAAAGGAGCTGACAGCCACCAGAGCCCAGCTAAGGGCTGATGACCACCAGCACGCTCAGTTTCTTCATCCTCATCCCTTCTTTTCCCAGAGTGGCATTTGGGAGCCTGACCCACCTTCAGGGGGCAGTCAGGTGCAAGTGCTGTACCCAGCTGTAGGGCTGCGAGAGCTCAGGGCGCAGGGAGGTGAGCAGAGGTGTGCTGGTGTGGAAAGGGCTCTTGGGAACAGCTTCAGCAGAGAATGAGCAGGATCACCCTGTGTGTGACAGCTCCCAAGAGCTCAGTGGGATGTGTGACCCTGAGATTACCCTTGCAGGAGCACTGGCTCCCAAAGATTGCTGCCACTTTTCTCTTTATAATGCTGTGCACAAGGCAGAAACCAACAAGCAGCAAAGTTTCATTGAATGAAAGTACAACCCATTCAAGGAGGGGACACCAACTTGTCTGTCCTTGGCAGAGAAAGGTGGCGAGCCTGATGTCCCAACATCTCTCAGTGCAAGTGTGAGTCAGAAGAAATAAATGCCCTTGTACAGTCAGTAGCTTCAGTGAGAGGAACTCTGCAGTACCGCCTGCTCTGCTGGGGTCTCCTAGCCCTGAGCAGCCGGGATGACATGGCCCCTCTCCCCTCCAGGTTCTTCCTAAACAATCCCCTTCTGCAGGCACTTGGGCTTGTGAAAGAGAAGCCAGGCAAACAGGAGCACAGACACCAGCACAAGGGAGCACAGCACCATCAGCCCCACGTAGCTGCCATGGGAGAGAGGGGGCACAGCTGGCTCCTCTGCAGGGATCATGTTGGTCAGGTTCAGCATGTAGCCCAGGGTCCAACCTGCATCACTGCCACCAATCTGAAACAGAAGAGGAGCAGAATCAGCACTGGGAGGTGCAGGGGCTGCTTGTGGCATTGCTGGGGCAGTGACCCTCCTGGGGATAAAGGGCCAGGCTGTGCAGTAGGGGTGTGCAGGGCAGAGCCCTCCCCACCACGATACAAACCTTTCCAAGGAAGTGGATCCTTTGCCAGTTATCTTCGGTGAATTCATAGCCATTTTCCAGGAGAGAGAGGATGTAGGCTCCAGAGAAGCAATATTCACTCAGGTACTTTTCTTTGATGTTTTGATACATTGTCTTCACCTAGGGAAGGAGGCAATCACCAGGCTGTTAAACACACCTTCCCACTGCTCCAGCTTGTGCCTGAGCATCCACTATAGGCGCTGGGGGAATCTTCCCCATCTTGCTTTGGAAATTAACCCCAGCTATTTATCCTACATAAAAGTATCAGCAGCCATAGTCTACCACAACAAGCACTGCTCACCTCTTGCCAAGGCCGGGCACAGAAGCTCTCAATGGTTCTGGTCACTTTGTTCAGGGGAACAGGGCTTGCTTCACCGGTCAGGTTCAAAAAGTTCATCACAAAATAGAAAGCAGAAAAAGCCTGAAGGAGAGAGATTGTTTTAATCTGACTGGGCCTCAGCATGAGCAGAACAGCAGAAATCCCATTAAAAAAATGAGTTTGTTTACAGATAGAGAAACATAAGAAGCAACATCACACACATAAGAGCAGGTACATTTTCAAGAGTGATGTCATTTTGAGACATACCCCTCAGAACTGCTGAGAGGTGGAAGTAGAAATTATGGTATCCTGAAGAGCTTCTGTAATCTCTCTCCTTTACATGTGCCAGTGGCATACAGTGGACGCTGATTGCCATCACAACCGTGATCCCATTCTAGCAACTGAACGAAGTGAGTGTGCAACTGATATCACCACAAAGAGCAGAAGTGATGGTCTGAAAGGACTGTACAGAGCCCCATCATATAATCCGAAGTCCAGAAAACTCCTCTCTGACCATGGTCAGTAGCTGATAGGTAGAGGGCAGTTTATGAACAGGGCAAGGGTGTATTAACAGTTCCCCAGAAAGCCTCAAAGTCACTGAAGTCTTGCAGCGCTAGGACTGATGGTCAGCATGGTGTCACACGTAATATGTGTTCAGAGTGTGCACTGTCTCCTCATCATGTCTGGGAAGCAGACAGGTGAGCTGACTGGTTTTAGTAGCACTCAGACACTTCTGGTTGAATTTCAGGTCTGGTTCCACCACTGACCTCAGGAGACAAGGTTTGCGGAGTAGGGTACCTGCCTGCAGCAGGCTCTCCTGCCTCTGGTGCTGGCCATCAGGAAGGACTGCTTAAAAATGAATTAGTAAATACAGAACCCCAAGGAGATGGGTCAGAATGGGAACAGTGCAGTACTGGCAGGCCAGTAGTTACTGAAGTAGCTCTTACATGTCTGCCCTCACCACAAGTGCAGCACTACTTTTGTAGGTACATGTCCAAAAAGCCATCTTATAAATGATTTCCTGTCTCAGTCATGAAGAATGCACTCTAGCATTACTCTGAGCTTCTGCTCTTCTAACATTCTGAATTATAAAGAGTTGAAGACTGTGAAGACTCACCCCAAAATCCCCTTGTAATGGAGGTAGGTATATCCCATTGAAGGAGCAACTGGAGTAAGGACAATTGGTTTTGTCGAAGAGTTTCTGGATGTTTTCTCGGCACTTTTGATAATCTCCCTCTCCCTCTATGTACAGCTGGCTGAAAGGTAATTGCTTTTTCTTGTCTGATGTACAAGGGTTTTTGAAGAAGTCACTTATATTTATAGTCCTCTGATACCCCTGGTGAAAGCATGGGTCAAGGAGACTGCTGCTCTCCACGGTCTGAAAGTAAAAATCAACTCAAGCTGTTACACTTTGCTCTAGAGTAACACCCTGAGAAAGAGCCACAGGGAATGGTGGCCACAAAGCACTTGTCATGATACGTCACATCAAGGTGCACACATCAGGTCAAAGGGATGAGGATGGCTTAAGACACTGGCTTTGAGGGGGAAGGTGTGGGTACTGCTACAGCCTCCATGTAGGACCCTGGGCAAATTACTTTCAGCCACAGTTTGTGAAGCTGCTGTTGATTTGGGATTCTCAGAGACTGTAAAATGTCATCTCCCCTGAGTACTTCAGTTAAGTGCAGTTCTCTTGCTATCCTGTGCCCAAGAATCAAGGCACCTCAGATTGGTAGTACTTTTGAAAGTATTGACTGGCACCTCTTTGGGCACCTTGTGCCCAGTTTTTATGGAGGACAATGATGTTTCCCTAATCCAGACTAAGAGATGAGGCATTTAGCTGGGACACAGCACCAGTATGCCAAAGATGGAGGGTCCAGGGTCTCCATGTGAAATTACAGGTGTAGATATACTTGCCTGTAGGTCCCTGGCCAGTTTCTGTTGCAGAGCCTGGTCCTTCCCATAGCAGAGAAAGCTGTGTGTGTACACCTGGTAATCCTTGCCATAGAGACGGAAGTAGAGCTGGTTCTCTGGAGACTCAGAAGAGAGTTCCTTTGATACAAAGGTAATCTGTGTTGAGGCTCCTCCAAGGTCTAGTGCTCCTGATGTCTCACTTGTGGATTTCAGGGAATGTAGAAGCTTTTTCCAGCCAGACTTTAAAAAAAATTAATTTCAAAGTAAAACAGATATATCAGGCATGGAGAAGATTTTATTTTGGAGATAAAAAAAAAGAGAAAGACTTATGTGGAGAAACAGAAGCACAGAACACAGAAAACACAGGAAGTCTTGGAGAGGGGCATGACATGAGAGCTGGAACATGACACAAGAAAGGTGCAGGTTTGTAAATGCATAACGTGGATCACATCACAGTGCTTGCAGGAGGACTAAGAATATAAAATGTAATACAATTGTTATGAGAAAAAGACAGCCAACTTACTGTTTCAGTTCCCAGATGATTTATAAGCTCAATAGTAAAGAATCACTGTCAGACTTTACAGACACAGAAGTATTTTAGATCAGGAAGTGAGAAGGACGCTGTACCCAAGCAAAATTATTGAAGATGCTGGTGTTTTATTTCAGTGCTTTAAGCCTGACTACAGTGGTGCAGCCTGATATCACTAAGTGTCAGGATATACTCATAGTAACTGCTGAGGCAAGATGTGCAGCTTCCTGATCCCTGGTAAATGGCTTACAAGGGAAGGTAGGTGCTTGCAACAGCTTCTTGTGAGGCATGATTTACAAAGTGCTGCAAGCCAATTATTCAAACATACTTGCTACAGAAGTACTACCTGCTTGAAACTGCCCAGAAGGTAATTAATGGTGATCCATCCATAGGCTCCTTCTTCCTGACCAGTGATGATTCTGGCACCCTGGAAGTTGAAGGGAGCTAAGCGTAGTGTCGTCTCTACTGAGGACAAGACTTCGTCAGCTGCACTTTCATTCTCCAACCTGGACAAATGGAAGAAAGGATGGAGTGACTCTGGCTGACAGCTCTCAGTAGTCTATGAGCTTTATTCTGAGTAGGCAGAATGCAACTCCCCACCAAGTGTTAATTATAAGACAACAGTCATTCATATGGGTTGTCCAGTTCCAACTGGCCATGTCCTTCTCTGTCAACACCTTGACAGCACAGCTGCCACCAGGTCTGACACTTACAGACCCTGGAGCTGAGAGTGATACTTGGAGCAGAGACCAGAGCTCTTGTTCTCCTGGAGCATGTGTCCTGATAGGAATTGCACTGTGGAGATTCCTCTCACTTTTCACAACCACCGTTTGAGAAGAAATCTGGAAGGTATCCCCAGGGAGATCTCCCAGGAAATATATACATAAGATCAGCTCTGGGTTATAGCCAGACAAGAGTTCTGGAGCACCTCCATGAAAATCACAAATTAGAACTAAAGGAGTATGTGATTATGAAGTTACCTTATCCTGTGATGGCCCCAGGATGAGTCAAGATATGTGGGGAGTTACAACATGGTTGAGCTCAAAAATTCTGGGTTAGGCCTAATACCAGATTGTGGGGATGTTTGAGCATCCCTTTGATGTGGGGGATGTCTAAGCATCAGCTCGGCACTGCTGATCTCCTGGTGTCTCTGTGCTGCATCTGGATACAGGAGATGATAGAAGGTTGGACTGAGTAGGCAAGCTGAGCAAGCAAGGGAAGAGCCAGGAGGACTCGGGGTTCAGAGAGGTCAGCTTCAGAAGAGGGTATCTGGGCACAGTGTGAGCTGGCAGTATCTCCAAGGACTTTTCCCAAGAGGCCCCCACTGAGCATCCATGGTGATCCCAGGTGCAGCACTGCAGGAGAAGGGGACAGGCCCTACAGTACCTGAGAAGCCGCATGCCAGCAGTTGCTCCGAGGTAGACAGGTGTCTCTTTGTGCTGCGTTGAGGGAATCACCTCTTTTGCTTGTTGTAGGCACTGTGCCAGAGAGGGACCTGCCTTCTCTGTGGCATGGGAGTAACCTGAGATCCCAGGGCCTGCAAGAAATAAAGACACTTCACTGTTCCAACTCCATAACCCCACAATGGTGCCATGAGCAGGTGTATTAAACCATATCACAGGCAGCAGTATCAGATTCAACCCCCCCATTCCTGAGAAGCTTTAGAAATCCTACAGCACCAACTAAACCCAATGCACAGGGGGATGGCCACAGTGCCCAGCATCTGCCATCTGTTCTCCAAGACGCAGACGCAGGCTATGAACTAGCAATGAGGACTGCAGTGAAACAAACCATTTCCTGAGCATGTCTTGAACAGCTGCAGACTTCTCTGAGTCTGCCTGGGAGTACCCTGGATCTGTGCCTGAAAATCCCTGACCCTCCACTGTGCTGGGGATTCCAGGGGCAGATGCTATCATTTGTTTGTGTACTTTATAGTCACACTACAACACTGGGTGTTTTGCAGCTATTGCCTTTCACGCTAACCCAAAGAAAAATTCATTGTCCCTCTCTGCCACGTCCCCTGAACTGCCTCAGGCCCAGTGCCTGCACAGCAGTGAAGCCCAGGCTGCACTCGCCCCAGGTTGCCATATGCTCAGCGTGCTGCCCATGATGTGGGATGGCGCAGTGCTGAGCAGCTATGGCAGCAGCTTGATAATGGTAGGGCTCTTCCTTGCACTGCAGGGGCCTGAAAAGACCCCAGGCAGGTCTGACAACACCTCTCATCCCTTCAGAGTGCAGTGATCCATGATGGTCTGTGCTGCTCCTTGTTTTGTGCACCCTTAGGCTTCAATTATGCCTTCCTGAACCATAAAATATCTACGCAGCAATTAAATAGAATAAAAAATAAACCATGACATGCTTAAGTTGAGCAACCTTGGGCCTTAAGCCCAGTGCCTAGATTGCATAGAAGCCTTGGAAAAAAGCAAACCATGCCCTCCCCTCTCACTGCCTGATATTCATCAGCACTTCAGCAAGAGTGTGTGCTGACATTTTATTTATTTAAATACATTCTTTGGTGTAGATATTTCCAAAAAGCACTTACTTCCAAGCATTCTAAAAACAAAGGAAAAAGTGGATCCATTTTTCCCCCAGGAAGGTCAAGTATATACAGCTCCCCATGGGAAGAGGTGGGATATACATTAGTTCACAGAATAAGAATACTCACAGGATATTCTGAGTTGGAAGGGACTCACAAGGATCCTCAAGTCTAACTCTTAAGTGACGTAACACTGTTTTCAATATTGGCCTCTTCTCCCAGGCTTCTCTTCCCCCACCCTTTGATTGCATTATCTCTTCTTCATCCCATGCCCCTTCCATAGCTCCCTTTCCTCCTCTTACCTTCAACTTTACACACCTCCACCTGCTTCACCACCCCAGTGTCGTTCTCCTTCTCTGCTGGCCACTCGTACACATAGAGGTTAGTGTGGGACGATCCCGCATCCAGCACAATCCCATACTGTGGGCAAGACAGAGCCACTATCACACCTGAGGCACCAAACCACACACAGTATGTGCTGGCCTCCACACACAGGGGGACCAGAAGCGAACAGCTTAGCTTATCTGGCAGCTGTGGGAATGTGTGTCATTACTCTTCTCAGTAGTGCTTCAGTGTAAAGTTTCCATCAAAAGATACAAGAGCAGAAAAGCAGCAAAATTGAGACTGATTACTTAAGAGATGGTCCCCTGTGAAGCCGTATCTGGTTTTACGACAAAGATGTAAAACAAGATGTTGAGGTGCATGGAGCCAGAAAAAGAGGTTAGCCAGACCCAGCAAGGGCAGCAACATGTCCTTGAGCACTATGAACACCTAACTCCCCAGCTTGTTTTCTTTTAAGAGTACCAGCTTGTAATACCTTAATATTCTTCGGAAGTGGCTTGTTTTGGGTCACTGCTACAGCAATTAAAGCAATTACAGCCAAAGTAGAGAGGAATCCCAGGATGAGTAGAATCTTTCTTGTCGAGGACATCTTTGGTTTGGTACCTGTGACTAGAGCAGAAAAAAGATGTTAGTATCCCAGTAGCCCATCTTACCTCACACCCCAAAGATCTTTAGGCACATTCCTGCAGTCCCTTTCCACTATGAAGCCTTTGCCCATCCCTGTCCCATCTCCTACTCCACGTACTTGTGTGGGATTTCTTAGAGGCAGAGCTCAGCCCTGGTGTCCTGCAGATGTGCTTTCATGGGCCATGCCACACCTCCATGGTCTGCCCTGTGCCCAATGTATTTCCCAGATTTATAATCTAGATGTAAATTCAACACATGTAACAACTAAATAGCTCTAGTGGACATACTTGCTCCCACTATGACAAGAAATCCATTTCTACCCATATTCATGCTCCATACTCAAAAGCACTGATCATCTGACTGCTCACATGGATATTAATTTCTCTTCTCCTTATGCATAAATACTCTAGGACATGTTTAGAAATACATTACAGGTCATCCAGGATGGTGACGATACTTTGATGCAGGCAACCACATCAACTATTGTCACCCTCCAATAAGGTAAGGTGACTGAACCTGCTCTGCATCTGCATGCCAGAACCAGGGTTCCAGGGGTATCCAGGTGATACCAAGTCAATGCTCCAAATCCATTCTGGCACCACACGTCATGCATGCAAATATGAAAAGCTTTCAAGTTCTGACCAGGGCCATCTTCTCACTGCTCTGGTTTTATGTGAGAGGTGGTCCCAGGTGCCAGAACTATATAGTGTTACCTGACCGTACAAATGACCCCAAATCCTAGAGTTATTTTCAGAAGTTAGCCCAAGTGAAAAGAAGCAACGCATCTCTGGAAATCTCTAACTATTGACAAATAACATCTTCCCACCTACCTAGAGAAAATGGAACCTAGAAACACCAAGAGAGCTTGCTTTGAAGATGCTGCAGATATGTCCATTGGAAACCTAACATAGCCCTGGAGCTCTGTGTTCCCTCTCATCACACTCACATGTAAATCTGCTGAGGCTAACTGTGAAATTTGGACGCTTGTTACACTCACATTTTGTGAGTGCCTGTTAGGGGCACAGCATGCTTGCCAGTATTTCCAAGAATGCAGCTTGAAAAAACAATCTAGTGCACATACCAGACAGTAGGAAGTAAGAATGTATTTTATCCAGCTTTATTCAAAAATGCCCCAGAACTCATGGCTTAAAGTGATTAGAAACAGCAGAGCATGACAGCTGGGAGACTTTTCGTCCTATTGGAGAGAGTAGCTGGCTTGGGTTATGATAGCACTGAGCATGTCTGTTAAACAAAGATTATTTTAACCCTAGCAAAATGAATAAAACCAGATGCTATAATGTAAAATTAGCTGCACAGTATAGATAAGAAGTTAGCGTGCTTGAAAAATGAAAGTGCTGCTGACAGTTGCACAGCACATTCACACAATTACTGCCACCCTTACTCTGAGATCTTGCCTAAAGGCAGCCACTAAGTGCTTTGTTGAGTGTTTACTGTCATAGGAACGAAGGCTGGGTGACTTTGCACAACTTCTAAGATTTTCAAATTTCCTGTTGTGATGGGTATTGTCTGACTGCTGTATCTTTTCAGCAGCCACACTCTGAAAAGTACTAGCATTAGCAGCAAAGCAGGAACAATTTTCTCCCTATAATGGACCATTCCAATAAACAGCTGTAGAAATCCCTTGTCTGCAGGCAGAGGCATAATGATAATTGTCTGCGTCCCACGTGCAGTGTGAGATCCCTCATTTTTCTGCCAAGGCACATTATTTCCTTACCCCTGAATGTGACTCTTGCCTGAATTTTAGTTCAGTATCATGAGCACTTTTCAGGACTCTGCGGGTTGTAGAGATGTGATTTCATTGCTGTATCCCATATCAGAGTATTCATCTGTGTGAACTCTTATGCTACCGAGGAGAATTTTACTGAAATGTTTCATACAGGAAAAGGTACAGAATGATAAGCATAATCCAGAAGGTAGCCTAGCAAAGTAATAACCTTCTAAATAGCACTCAAAGTGTACATAACTGAATACTCGATTATTTAAAAAAACAAACAAAACCCAAACCAAACAACAACTCTGCAAATCCAGGTAAAGAATTCAATGTCATAAAAATTCACCTGCCATTTGTTCAGAAAAGTGAGGCATTTCAACAATTCCCTTTTCTGTGCACTTGGTTACCTCCATCAGCTCTAGGTTCTGCAGTGGCTAAAGAATGAACTTACTCTCGCTTCCTTCAGCTCCTTTGAATTTCAAATTCACACTGCTGAATGTCATGCAGACACTCCCCAGTGTCCACAAAGTGGAGCAATACTTGACCATCTAGTTGCCAGAGCCCAGGACTTTTCTTCCATTAACCATTTTTTCCTCAACTAAAGATTAAGCAGACATGATCTTCTGCCTCTGTGCCCAGCCAGAACCCAAATAGAGACAGAGCTCTACTCTTTCTCCCATACTGCCCTCTGTAAGCAGTGACAAAAACATAAGGCCTTAAGTAGGCATAGAAATGATGCTGCTTTTCTTCTTCCCGACCTCAGAGCTTCTGGGTGCTGGAGCCCTGCCCGGCTGCGCGGGCATTAAGCACTCTCTAGATGTTGGAGCACAGCCCAGCTGCTCAGGCATCTCTGTCTGTTTCTAATTTTGGTCTCTTTGCTTTTTTTGTAAGGGCTACCATTGGTTCCAGCCAGTGATGGTATCAAAACACAACCAGATCTAATACCCTTTCTGTCTCTAAGACAGAGAACTGAGAAGGATGTTGTCAGCCACTCCAGCTGACAGCAGTTTTGCTGCAGAAATCCTGTTGCTCTCAGTGCATAACCCAGGAAGGACCACACCAGTGTGGGAGGCAGCTCTGTGTGAAGGCAAGGAAGCAGGTTTGACTCCTTTGTCTTCCAGAGCCTCAAGACAAATATGAAACTACCCCTCAAATGACACTAAGTCACTGGCAGCTCTGTATGCCAGGAGATGTCACTCACAGCCGAGGCTGCCCACCTCCCAACTCCCTTCTCACCAAGCAAGACTTAGCAACAAAAGTTAAAAGGAATCAGGCAACCAGCTGCTTTTAGAGATGAAATAAGGAGAAACTAAGGCTTGTTTGGAAACTGAAAATAGGATTGTCAAGGAGAAAAGGAAAGATGCTGTGCATAGTCCAAAGCCATGCTCAGTTCAGATAACCTCACTGTAACCTATCATCTCTAATCAATACAAATATTTTTGTAAACTCTGGCTTAGCACAACAGCTAAAGCTGATGTGTGATCTTTCCTTTGGGTGTTCACACTTGTCTGTTACAGAAGAGATCATAAGAGGCTGTAATGCAAGGCCATCACTCTTCCACTGCACAAGTGCCACACTGACAGAGACAGTTCCCATCATCACCTTTATGCTCTCACTACACCTCTGTATGGTCAGAAACATTCTCATTTTCAGTCTTTATTTCTTTATTGCTAGTCTATTCCTTCTGTCTGTGTTCCACTTTGATCTCATAACTTCTGCAACTCTCAATCCTTTTGGAATTTACTCTCTTAGTCAACTTATAAACAATGATCCTTTCTGGATTTTTGTGTTTCCAGCCTTTTCCATCTACCTTTTCCATCTATATGCAGCACTTCTCTGCATATAGAATAATCTGCTTTTATTTTTCTTGAGCATTCTGACCAGAGCTGCAAGGCTAGCCTTGCACAGTAATGAACGCAGGATATGACACAGTCCCAGCCCAAAATGAAGTGAGGTAGGGACCTGTACTACCTCAGAAACATGATCATCTACCATAATGGCCAGAGCTAAGTCAACCCAGCACCTCTGCCATGGAATCCCAGCAAACCCACCTACTAGAGAGGGGCTTGGGCAATGCAGTCTGTGCTCATTTACTAACTGCAGGGTTTCGTGTCTGTGGAGTTGTCAGCAGTGATAGCAGGGAAAGGGCATGGGAGCAGTCAGTGCTGCTGTTCAAGATGGAGAGGAGATACACACATTATCCTTCTGGTGAGTTAAAATGAGATTTCAGTATTCATTAGCTTTTCAGGCTGAATTGCCTGAAAAACTCACCAATTACTCTGTGAGGTTGCTGAACTTGCATCAGGTTTTGATGCACGTTACTCAAGAGGCACTCCTGCCTTCAGACTCACCACAACCAAACATTTGAAACCATAAACACTCAGAAGAGCCACACTCATTTATCAACCCTTTTATGAAATTTCCTCTGTCCCCAACTGACTTCTTACTCATTCTTTGTCTGCCTTTTTCATTTAAACATCCTCTTGTCTAGGTTACCTAGGAAGACTTTGCGAAGTAATGTAAACCACCTGTTTCAGGCCAACGTCTTAGGCTGTGGAGAGGCTCAGGTTTGTCTTAGAATATACATACAAGCACATATACAGTAAGTAAATGGCTTTGGTTTAAGAGGGTTTATTTCAAAATCTCAGGGCTAGACACTGGGCATGTTGAAATTAGAATTTAAGCTCCAGATCAGGATTTTTACAACTGTTACATGGAACAGTGTGGGAGACTCTGCTCCAAGTTTTAATTATGCATATGGCAAAGATTGTGGCCTAAATACTGGTGTGATCTCTGACCCTCCTAGTAGTGCTATGCAGAATAATAAATACATATTTACTGGATTATGTTTTTCCAGTTTAAATACTTGTAAGTGCTGAAGTACAAACACTGAAGTGTCAGTAGAACTGATAATCCAAACAATGTAATGGGTTTTTTGGATGCTGTCTTTCAGAGACATTTGATACTGAAATCACGCAGCCCTACATGTCTCAAATCCCAGCAGACTCCTATGAATCTAGGCTACACAGCCGGGCAGAGTGCTTGAACTAATCTGTCCCATGTACACACATACCTGTGCACTAGTGAGCTGGAAGATAAAGAGTGTGCCTGTCTCTGAGATAACACCAAGTTGGGAGAAAAGCTCACTGACACACAGGACTGAAATTGAAAATAAATTTGACAAATAGGGGAAACCCTAACTCACTTAAGGACAAGAGAAAATATGACATTTAGATAACAGTCATCACCC